ACTCAAGATGCATTAATAGACAAACTAAGATTGAAGATTCTAAGCCAATATGTATTTGAGATATTCAAAAGTAGGTCACCTTGACCTACTTTTTGGTCTACATTCTCTGAAAACCCAAGATGCATCAACTGACAAAGTTTGATGATTCTAAGCCAATAAGTACCAGAGAAAATTAAATATAACCATAAAATGTCGAAAGTAGGTTATCATGACCTACATTTTAGTTGACATTTTCAGAATCCCAAGATGCATCTGCTGACAAAGTTTGATAATTCTAAACCAATAAATACCTGAGATATTCAAAAGTAGGTCACTGTGACCTACTTTTTGGTCGACATTCTCTGAAAACCCAAGAGGCATAAACTAACAAAGTTTGATGATTCTAAGCCAATAAGTACCAGAGAAAATTAAATATAACCATAAAATGTCGAAAGTAGGTTATCATGACCTACATTTTAGTTGACATTTTTCAGAGTCCCAAGATGCATCTGCTGACAAAGTTTGATAATTCTAAACCAATAAATACCTGAGATATTCAAAAGTAGGTCACCATGACCTACTTTTTGGTCGACATTCTCTGAAAACCCAAGAGGCATAAACTAACAAAGTTTGATGATTCTAAGCCAATAAGTACCGGAGATACTTGAATATAGCCATAAAATGTCAAAAGTAGGTCATCGTGACCTACTTTATGGTCGACATTTTCCGAAAACCCAAGATGCATCAACTGACAAAGTTTGATGATTCTAAACCAATAAATACCTGATATATTCAAAAGTAGGTCACCATGACCTACTTATTGGTCGACATTCTCTGAAAACCCAAGAGGCATAAACTAACAAAGTTTGATGATTCTAAGCCAATAAGTACTGAAGATACTTAAATATAGTCATTAAATGTCAAAAGTAGGTCATCGTGACCTACATTTTGGTTGACATTTATCAGAGGCCTAAGATGCATCTGCTGACCAAGTTTGATAATTCTAAACCAATAAATACCTGAGATATTCAAAAGTAGGTCACTGTGACCTACTTTTTGGTCGACATTCTCTGAAAACCCAAGAGGCATAAACTAACAAAGTTTGATGATTCTAAGCCAATAAGTACCAGAAATACATAAATATAGCCATTAAATGTCAAAAGTAGGTCACCGTGACCTACTTTTTGGTCGACATTCTCTGAAAACCCAAGATGCATCAACTAACAAAGTTTGATGATTCTAAGCCGATAAGTACTGGAGATACATAAATATAGCCATAACATACTGAAAGTAGGTCACCGTGACCTAATTTTTGGTCGTCACTCTCCGAAAACCCAAGATGCATCAACTCACAAAGTTTGATGATTCTAAGCCGATAAGTACTGGAGATACATAAATATAGCCATAACATCTTGAAAGTAGGTCACAGTGACCTAATTTTTGGTCGTCACTCTCCGAAAACCCAAGATGCATCAACTCACAAAGTTTAATGATTCTAAGCCAATAAATACCTAAGATACTGAAATATAGCCATAAAATGTCGAAAGTAGGTCACGGTGACCTACATTTTGGTCGACATTTTTCAGAGTCCCAAGATGCATCAGCTGACCAAGTTTGATGATCGCTGGTCTGAAGGTAATCAAAATATGCCTTTTAAACAATTTGAAAACATATGCCTGCAAAATTCTAAAAGTAGGTCACAGTGACCTACTTTTACTTAAATATGTTTTTAGGTCCCAAGATGCAGCAACTTACAAGATTTGATGATTCTAACCCTCTCAGTGTCTGAAATAATGGGATGAAATGTTTTAAAAAGGATAAGTCATAAAGTTCAAAAAGTAGGTCACGGTGACCTACTTTTAAGTTGACCTTGTTCAAGGACCCAAGATGCATCAACTGACAAAGTTTAATGATCATAGGCCTTAAAGTGTCCAAAATATGCATTCAAATCAATTTGAAAACAAATGCCTGCAAAATTAAAAAAGTAGGTCACTGTGACCTACTTTTGAGTTAACATGATGTGAAGTCCTAAGATGCATCAACTTACAAGATTTGATGATCCTAGTCCTTATAGTAAGCAAAATATAGACATTTTCATTAATTGTAAATTTAGGTCAACTTTGAAGTGACCTTGAGACCACGCCCTTTGCCCCAGGGTCATGCCTTGAACAATTTTTAATCTTCAACATATCCTGATCCTTGTGTGTAAGTTTGGTGAAAATCTGCCCAGTGGTTCTGGAGAAGAAGATTTTTTTGCAACCAGTACTTTTGGTTTTGTTTTCCTGATTATCTCCCCTTGTTTTAGGGTCCCAACCCTTATTTTAGTATAAATGGTAGCCCTTGGGCCAAGGATGCCCTGTGACAAATTTGACACTGATTGGCCAAGGGGTTCTTGAGTTATGGCCCATATTCTAAAAAGTTAACGCACACCGCACACCGCACGACGCACACCGCACAAATGGCCATAGCATTAGCTCTTTGAGCCTTTGGCTCAGAAGAGCTAAAAATGACAATATTTTGAGTAAAATTCATCGAGCGCAGGTCTTATCAGGCTCAATATTTTGATTTTATATGTAGAATGATAATATCCATGAAATGTGTAAATATTGTTCCTGTCAGTGAGCAAACTTGTGCTCTATATAATTTGAAGCTAAAATTGTTGAATTTTTGTCAATTTTGTCTTTTTTTCTAAAAAATGATATAAAATTGGACTAGTTTGTGACGTCATAAAAGCAACAAGAGGCCCATGGGCCACATCGCTCACCTGAGAGGCTTTGACCATGCTGGTTTTTACCTTATTTCCCTTGTAATACATGTATATTATGTGACCCAAATGATCATAATTTTAACAATTTAAAATCTACGTACACTATCTCAGGAAGCTTCCACATAAGTTTCAGCTTTTCTGGCCAAGTGGTTCTTGAGAAGAAGATTTTCAAAGATTTTTCCTATATATTTCTATGTAAAACTTTGATTCCCCATTGTGGCCTTGCCCGACCCCCAGGGTCATGATATGAACAATTTAGAATCTACACTACCCCAGGATGCTTCCACATAATGCCCTGTTCACTTGGCGAGTATAATTCCCAGTAAATTGATGCGAAGTAAACTAATGTGAATCAAAATAATGCGAATTAAATTGCGCTCACACGACAGCTAATGCGAAGTAAACTAATGCGAATTAAAATTCTCCTTCTACGGCCTGGTGTCAGTAAGGCTATCATTTGTAAATCACGTCACCTTATGCAGGAGCAAATGCAATTTGACATAATGTTACTGAGTTTGTACACACATTTTAGCGATTAACACAATTTTCCTGAGTTTTTCACTCAAAAATAGCACAAGTACTTCAAGCTGACCACCAACAAGTGGCATTTGACTAGATTTTGCCATTACGCATGCCTCAAAATTTAATTAGAATTAGCTTCCCTTAGCGTTCACACGGAGCTAATGCAAAGTAATTTAAGGTCAAGATCTATTAAATGGAAGGTGCCTACAGATTTATCAAATTTAAGAAATAAATTCCTTTAATGATGTTTTTTGATATAAGCTTGGTCAAAATAGGTGTTTCGGGGCATAAATTGTAGAAAAACAAGATGAATAACTATAAAGTAAACTGTCATTTTCAAAGAAAAAATTAGAAAACCAGTCATGAAAATGGGAGTTTTTTCCATATCAGACAAAGAAAATGTATCCAGATTGCCTACAATTTAGCAGAAAACGGTAATTTGTATGTTCGTAGTCTCTAGTTTGAAATAATGTCAAATTTAAAATAGGTACCGGGACTACTTTTCATGTTATTTCAAATTGAATTCCATAAAAATACTTTATTTTATACATAATTCTATCAGAGCCGTAAAGTATGGGAAAAGAAAGTTGAAAGTGATTATGACGTCATAGTGGATCTACCACTGAAAAGTTATTCTAAAGTCATTTACTAGATCTTGACCTTAATGCGCAGTAAACTAATTCGAATTAAACAAATTCACATTAAATTCTCCGTGTGAACGCTAAGCAGAGCTACTTCACATTAACTTTACGTTTAATTTGAATTAAACTCTACATGTGAACAGGGCATAAGTTTCAGCTTTTCTGGCCAAGTGGTTCTTGAGAGGAAGATTTTTTAATAACTCCACCCTATTTTTGTCTTTTCTTGATTATCTCCCCTTGTGAGGGGACTTGGCCCTTCATTTTAATAATGTAAATTTCCTTTTTCCCAAGGATGCTTTGTACAACGTTTTGTCAAAATTGGCCCAGGGGTTCTTGAGAAGAAGTCGAAAATGTGAAAAGTTTACAGATGGACAGACAGACGGATGGATAGAGAGCTAGACAGAAGGAAGACGGACAAAATGTGATCAGAAAAGCTCACTTGAGCATTTGGCTCAGGTGAGCTAAAAATTGTCAATTAACTACTTTGAAACTATAATATGTTCCGTTAATTTACATTTCTTACACAATTTATAGAATTCAGCACATTTCAAGAATTTTTCAAAATTTGACTCTTGTTGGGGCAAAGCTATGCAATATACTGCATATAGCTCTTTATGTTTTTTGGCTGTTCTTGTGAAAACTTTTTAATATAGCAGTATATTGTGGCCCCACCAAACCCCTGGGGATCATGTTTTGAACAATCTGAGGATGTGTCTATATCAATATGTATGGCACGCCTAATTCACAAAAATGAGTTAAACATAGTGTCACAGTCAATAAACTAGGTTTATCGGTTGTAAACTATAGTTAACAATGTTAATCTATATTTTACATCTGTAATCCATAGTTAATGTGATAATCTGTGTTTCAGAACCGTAAACTATACTTAATAAACAATGAAAACAATCATTTGCGATTGCAAAACATAGATTATCTAATAAATACAGTTTTACGATTGGTAAACTACGGTTTACAAGTCTTAACTATAGTTAACAATCTGATACTATGATTAACAACTCTTAACTATAGTTTACAGAATCTATGTTTATCAACAAAATCTATTGTTAACATTTTTTTTACAGACAGATAAACTTAGATTAGCATTCGTAAACTATAGTTTACAACCGTTAAATATATTTTACAGATGAAAACTATAGTTGATGAATTGTTAACTATAGTTCATGGTTTGTGTCGATAAACCTAGTTTATCAACTGTGAAACTATATGTTTAGCTCATTTTTGTGAATTTGGCATGCCATAAATATGACTAAGAATGCATTTGCATTCTTGTTGAGTCGATTTTTTAATACATATTTTTAATTTCATACTTTGATTACTTATTGTAGCACTACCCAATCTCCAGGTATTAACATGCATTCTCTGTAGGCAACAAAAAATCTTGGAAACGGCTTGTCTCGGATTTTGATGAAATTTTCACTATAGTCTGGTGAAAATCTGCCTGGTGGTTCTGGAGAAGAAGATTCTTTAGCAACCTGTACTCTTGGTTTTATTTTCCTGATTATCTCCCCTTGTTAAGGGTACCAATCTTAGTTTTAGTATAAATGGCAGCCCTTGGGCCAAGGATACCCTGTGAAATTTGACTATGATTGGCCAAGAGTTTCTTGAGTTATGGGTCACATTCTAAAAAGTTTACGTACACTGCAAAATGGTCATAGCATTAGCTCTTTGAGCCTTTGGTTCAGAAGAGCTAAAAATCATCTTCCTCACATCTAGTAGATAATTTTAATGTCTCAACCTACCTCTGGAACACTGACTGTAACAGGTGAAACAGTACTAGAAATGTCAAAGCTGGTTTTTATTGCTTTTAATGCAATATCAACATGTTCATATTGATTGGTAACTAGAATTTTCACTGTATAACTGTGTCTTCCTCCCTGGAAATGAATATCAATAGATAAATGACTTAAAAAGAATCTTATTTAATACTCATTCACACTTTGATATTTCAAAGTATCCTGTGAGTGAGGCACAAGCATCCATTATAGTTTGTAATAACTTAATAATGTCAGAAGTATTATGATTGCATGCATTTTAAAATTTATAAATTAATGTGGCTATCAGTACATTGCATCGTGTACATTGCATCATGTCTTATTAATCATATCTTCATTTATTTTCCATTGAGTATTCCTATGTCTCTTATGTTGATATCTATATTAAAATGAAACCTTCTCAAAAACGTGTGAGTATACTTACAGAGTCTTTGCAGGAAACTTTAAACCAAATATTTTGTTGTGACAGTTTCTAAACGACAGAAAATCATTATTCGTATGTGCATTAGATTATAGTGACATTTTTTATTTCTTAAATATCCCCAAGATTTAAGGGTTAAGTAGCTACTATTAAGTAGCAATTTATGTTTGCAGTGTAGCTATAATTGTTGTCAGTTGATCCCAAGAGCCAACATTTAGATTGTTTTAGTCATAAAATATTTACCCATTTACAGAATTGGTTTTCTATGGTATAAATCAACTAGGAATATGTCCGTACGACATGAATGTACGGCCAAGGGTTTATCAGTAATGCAGCATGAAAATTCAAATTTGTGTATGAAATTTCAGAATATCTTGAATAGTTAATGTTGATGCAATTGAATAGCTCTCATCATTTTGTTTAAGCATATAAAGTTTGATAACACTATCTTGAGTGGTATCTTTAAAACTGAGCTAAACACTCATTTAAGAAAAGTGATATCAAGGTCAAAGGAAAGACCATGGTCAAAAATGTTGATGCAGTTGAATAGCACTCCTCAGTAGGTATCAGCATATGAAGTTTGATAACACTATCTTGGATGATATCTTTTAAACTGAATTAAACATTCATTTTAAAAAATGAGGTCAAGCTCAAAGGAAAGGTCAAGGTAAAAAAATGTTGATGCAGTTGCACAGCTCTCGTCAATATCTATCACCCTGTGAAGTTTGATGAAAATATCTTGGATAGTTTCTTTGAAACTTAGCTTTGAACAGAGCTAAACGCAAAGTGTGACGGAAGGACAGAAGGACAGCTGGACGGAAGGGCGGACATGACAAACACTATATGCCCCGGCCATATTCATGGCGGGGCATAAAAATTTAGCACAATTACTCAGTATCAAGTCGTTGGCATGTTCATGAATTAGCTCTACACACTAATGAAGCACCATGTATTGTTTTTATAAATTATTTCTTAGCAGTATTCATGAATTACAATGAAGCGCATTGAAGTGGTAAAATATTCAGTTTGAATGGAATGTTTTGGGCTTTATTTAGATCGTTGATTGTCACATAATGACACGCCCATTTCTTTAGGTATGACAAAGCGGTCAAATGGTTCTCTTGAATCCCTGTAGAACAGGTATTCCATAAATACAGTGGCCTGAGTGAATCAAATTGACAGTCTACATAAACACAGAGTAAATGCGTGTTTGACAGATACATGTGCTGTGGTAACTCCAATAAATGATATATTCATAATTATGTACAGTGGACCTTCAGATATCTGGACACCAGATATCGGGATGCTTCAGTTTCTCATTTTTCATGAGAACGAAATTTCTGAACATTATTTTGCCTTATTTACCTGGAATTCCATGTTCTATATCTGGTATTTTGATTCATTTATCCGGACGGTAATTTTTCAATTTGTCCGTCAACTCTGCTAAAATTTCTGGATCTGGGTTTAAATTGCTATAAAAACACTGGCCTAGCTGCCTGTTTGTTTTAAAAGATGATCACCTCTAACCTGTTATCAATGGCTTGCCGCAGGCTACTAATAGGTACATAGGTACGCACTGGACTCTCGCTTTTCTAACATGTATTTGATATGTATTAATTAAGGGAGGATAGTTTAACATTTTTTCATAGTTGGCAAAAATATATTTTTTTAATGTTAGAATACCGTCGTAGCATGATTTTGTGTATTGCTACTTACATACATGACATCTGGGTTTTTTATGCGCAGTATTTTGTGCGCAAAACAAAATTTGTAACTTGATGACATTTAAAAACATAGGTAATCAGAGATTACAGAGCTCACCTCAATGAATGTTATCTTTAAACTAGAGGTACTGTGAGCAATGAGCTCACTAAATGATACCCCCCGCCTCCCATATGATTATAATGGAAAAGTCCATGTTTTGTTGTGGCCAGGAAAACCAAAATATGTGTTGGATCAAAAAGTAAAATAGGAGGTGCACAATGGCAATATGTAAAAAAGATTCTGTGAAAGTTTTATTAGATTTCACTCAGTGGTATAAGGAGTTGCGGATAAGAGATGGGTACCCCAAAGCGTAACAGACGGACGGACGGACAGAAATACCGATTACTATATACCCTCCCACTTTTCAAGCGGGGGGTATAATAAGGCAAAGTCACACAATTACAAACAAAAAGTGTACATTCATCCAAAAATGCAAATTTATGCAATTTTGATCTGAAACTTTGGAATAGACCTATATAAAAACTTCAAACTAGTTCTTCATCACAAAACGGTTATTAAAATCCAGCATCTGAAGCAAGTTTTAGAGTTTTCATCCCCTGATGCATCATTTGGGCAAGTTTGGTTTATATAAGCCTTATAGTTTCTTGGTAATAGACCTGCACATTACTGTGCATCCTAAGATGTATCATCCACAGGGGCCTGTAACATACTGTATTTGATTTTACGTAATCACTATATGTATACAAAAAGAGACCTTTTTTGTATATATATATAGTGATTATGTAAAATCAAAAACAGTATGTTACCGGCCCCTGTGGTATCATCCATGTGAGTTTGAACAACATAGGGCTAATAGTTACTTAGAATTGAAACCTGTATAAAAATTTAACCTCTTCACTCATCCAGAAAATAATGTATGTCAGATTCAGCATCCGAAGCCAGTCTGGTAGAATGCATCCTCAGATGTATCATCCATGCAAGTTTGGTTATTAAAGAGCTCATAGTTACTTGGAAATAAATCCTGCACCAAAAACTTTAACCTGTTCACTCATCCAGAAAATGTAGGTCAGATTCAGCATCTGAAACAAATATGGTAGTTTGCATCCTAAGATGTATCATCCATGCAAGTTTAGTCATTATAGGGTTCATTGTAACTTGATTTTGTTCGGTCATAGCACCCGATTCGTATGCTAGGAAAAATATTATCTTATCTAAGGTATGCAACAGAATGTTACAATATAAATTGTGATATCCCACGCTTGAAAGGCGGGATAAAGTAATCGGTATGTCCGTCTGTTACGCTTTGGGGTACCCATCTCTTATCCGCAACTCCTCTCATACCACTGAAGGAAATTTAATGAAACTTTCACAGAATCTTTATTACATATTGCCATTGTGCACCTCCTATTTTACATTTTGATCTCACATATATTTTGGATTTTTCAGAGCAAAAAAAGGACACTGCCATTATATTCATATGGAAGGCGGGGGTGGGGGATGGGGGGGTTATCATTTAGTGAGCTCATTGCTCACAGTACCTATAGTTTTATTTGTATTTTGTTTTAGTTCATTTTAACTCCCTCTCTCTGGATTCTTTCTTTACATGTGACATGATCTAGCTACTTTGAATACTGCTTGACAGTAATTTAGGCCTACTGTTCAACCAAATTCATGTATAAAGAAAAAAATCTTGAAACTAAATCCCGGTTCCATATATACAAAATCTTGGATCTGCTCCTGTGGTGAACCTCCATGGTTCCGTATCAAGCTGTGAGCAACAAAGGCAACATTGACCAAAAGAATTTGCAGATAAATTATCAAGGAAAAAATACATTCCGTAACAACTTTCCCCGGAAAACGAAAGGAAAAAAAACCCACAATATTCTTGAGTGGATAGCGCTTGGTAAAATTTAATATTAAATACCTACTGTGTCATTCAATTCTTTTGTATACGTGAATTTTTACTGGAAAAGCTCTCAATAGTCCAACTAAAGCCTTATTACTGGCCAAAAACTTTGACAGTTGCAAATTATTTTCAGAAATCTGACTTATAGTAAGATTTTTGATTTGATCTGGCTTTCGTAGATCTGTATACATTTCAAATTTTGTCAAAAATAGTAATTTGTTTTATCAAATCACTAATTTGTTTTAACAAATTACTAAGTTGTTTTAACAAATTACTAATTTGTTTTAAAAAATTGCTAATTTGTTTTAACAAATTATTAATTTGTTATAACAAATTATTAATTTGTTATATCAAATTAGTAATCTGTTTTAACAAATTAGTAATCTGTTATCTCAAATTATTAATTTGTTATATCAAATTAATAATCTATTATATCAAATTAGTAATTTGTTATAACAAATTATATCAACCGTCGCTTATATCATCAACGAGATGCATGTTGCTTAAGACATGTATATATTTTATTAATGCATATAAATATAAACACTGTAAACTTTGTGAAATATTCTGAATTATTCTTAATTCTATAATTTTTTTGAATATAAGACATGCAATTAGAGGTGCAAATTGGTAGGGATTCTTTTGATGCATCATTGCCATATTTAACTTCGTTCAATGTTGTCACGTAGGACATGACTATTGTTTATATAACAATTATCACCTCAATACCTGCGTTATTAAAACACTATATTTCAGTCGAAAGCATTTTACAATTACAATGAAGAAAATTATCGATGGATACCAAGAACCGTTTAATTACTAGAAATCAAATTTTTGACACTAATATCGCTTGGGTATGACCCAGTTTTGTTTACGTACATACTGACACGCGCTTGGTATACATGCATAACTTCATAACACGCTTGGAAGTAATTTAAAAAGGAAATAATCAGGTATTATTATCCCTCATTAGATAATTATTAAAAAGATTAAATATTCACACATGCACACTTTAGATACGTAGGGTAAAAAAAAATGATGTGCTACTTTCATTTGCGATGCAAAAGAAAATTAAATTTTATTTTTAAGTTACTCTACTAGAAAAAGTAAATCAGATCCAATTTATGCATTTTTGGGTATGCTTTTTACATAGGACCTGCGTTTTTTTCAGGATTTTTACCCAACTTTGGGAGTACATCTTTTACATCATTGCAGCCAATACACGAGATTTTACGGTAAGCTCCCCTAACTTCGTTGAGGTGAGCTAAAAACACTTTCATAATAATTAATGTTTTCATATAAACAATGTTTTATCCAATGACAATATACTTTTTTATATTATTTTAACAAGTATTGAGTGGTACTAACATTTATGTAAGTATTTCAACATTAAAACATTTTTATATAAAGTAACATTCTTCAATACATGTATTGCCAATGGTATGAGATACTATGTAGCTAAAATTAATTTGGGTATCCAAAAGCTTCACATATCCGGACAAATTGACTAGGAATGAATGCATCCGGAAAAACCAGGCTCCACTGTACACATGTTCGTTGCAATATGTGTTTTACAGAAGCAAGGTCTTTAACTCTCTCTTCTAACTGTACAAAATCTCCATCTCTGTGCAACTCATTGCTAGTCACAGAGTGAAATATATCCTATAGGCATTACAACAAATTTCTTTCTCGTTTTTAAGGAAATGGGTGTGTCTTTATGTAGCAATGGATGTTGGATAAGAAACATCCAAACTTTCCTGTCAAATGACAAATTTTACCACTTAAATGTACTTTGAGGGATGTATGAACTTCCAAAGTTTTGGAAAACTGATTCTCCATTACATAGTTATAGCCAGGACATGATTGTACAGAGACAAACTGAGACTAACTGATGGATAAACACAGTAAACTCCGTACTATTAATTTATATCCCTTAATATGAGCTTGAAGGAGTTATTTAAAGTGTTTTCAGCTTAGACTTTTTTTGCCTTTACCCTTTATTAAATTATCAGCTTTTGACGCCTAGCCGGCCCACCCCTTAATGACAACTTTTGACACATGTGTACTAGTATTTCATTATTGATTTGACTTGAAATTACTGCTTGTTTACAAATTATCACAGCACAGGTAGCCACCACGGTGGCACCTGTGTTATTTTCAAAATAGAATTGGATCATTAAAGTATCCAAAAACTTTCAGAAATCAAGTTTAAGCACACAAGTCTGAAAATTTGTCGGCAAGATTGACATTGAAGTAGCACTACAATTTATTGATTTCTGAGGAATTAAACTTATAAAATTGACAATAAATAATAATCTAACCATCAATTATATCATCACACATATTTCTTTGTTTTTTAAACAGACAATTTTGGCTTATTAAAGCCATTTTTTATGTTGAAAATATCTTTTTTTGCAATTTAAATCTGCTTTCATCTGAATTATTTTTTTTTTTTACAGAAAATTCAGATTGAAATTATGTGAATAGATTTGAAAGATTAATTTATTACAAATCTAATGATATATAATACATAGCATAAATGAAATATTTTGACCCTTTTTAGTTCATTTTAACTGCACTCCAATTCATCTAAAACGGTCTAAGGGGGCAGCCAGGCAATACACTCTAAGGATATGGCCAGTGCGTCAAATCGTGGCATTAATTAACTAAAGGGGTAAAGAGTAAAAGAGCAGTCTGCTAGGCAAATAGATGAACATGGGAATTCTATTCATTTACTGTGACTACT